CGAGCGCAGGTTTATTTAAAAAATTCTGAGCCTTACCCATTTACATTATGTATTACAGTTTTTACATTATAAAACAACAAGAATAAATTTAATCTTGGATTAATCTTGTTCGTATGAGTAATCAATCATTAACTCAAAATACTTTTTCAATTCTTTTATCAAAACATATTTTTATTTTATCAGAATTAACAAATAATATATAGATTTAATAGATTTTCATTAATAATTAACGCAATCTGTATTTCTAGCATCTCTTGGAGATGTACAGCGGTATAAAACTTTGTAAAAGCAAAGTGAAAAAAAGTAAACGTATTGAGTTGAATATAGAATTAAACTAAAAACAAATATTCTATATTTTAAATGCGTAACACTCTTTTCAACCCCTAAAATTAATATTCTATTCAAAACTTACTTTACAATATCAATTAATCAACACTTTCATTTGTTATTGAGCTCAAAATCAGTTGAAACAGTTTCTTTACGAGTCTCTGACTCTGTAACTTTGTAGTCAGATGATTGTTTTGTATCATGATCTTGTGTAAATTCTTTAATAACTGGATTATCCATTTTCTCTTCTTCTTTAGGAATAAAACGATTTTTTGGTAATCTTGGTAAAGATATGACGACACATTCTCCATTCAAAGTAGGCCATGGAATTTGTCTAGTTAAAAATTGTGAACATAATTCTTTTGTTTCCATTTGTACTTGAGCTTGCCTAAATTTTATTTAAAAATATACTCAGTATTATTTTGATTGTAAATCGTTATATCTTGTAAATAATATAATTCACCTTTTTCCATCTTTCAGATCATTCATAAAAGTTATTGCTACTGCTCCTGTAAGTGCAGCTTTCACTTCTGAAGCTTCTACTCCGTTTGGAATGTTAGAAACTAGCAAACTAATTAACAAGTTTTGAAATTAGTGCATTTGAAAACATCCAAAAAACTATTTTCATAAAGGTTAAATACAAATACGTACTGTTTTTCTAATTCAAGTTTTTCTTTTTTTCTTAAAGCAAGCATTCTCAATTTAGCTTTTTTCATTTCTTGCCTATCAGCTAACTTCGATGGGGCAACCAATATGTGTTTTTCATTGATGAATGTCTTTTTGATTGCCTTCAAATTTGCAATTTTATCCCTTACAGTTGAGAAAATCACATGACAATGCCTGGTTGTCTTTTGTGGAAGCTTGATTTTAAATTTCCCAAAAAAGAGGCTCTTTATTTCATCCTTACTTTTGATAGGATGTGGAAATCGTAAATACAAAGTTCTACTTTGCTCTTCCTCCATATCCCAAGAAGTTCGTCGACGTTTACTTGACTTCGAAATTTTATCGGTTTCCAACATCTATACACAAATATCAATGAAAACATTTAGCCTATTATATTTTATGATCATAAATAAAATTAATTATAAATTATCAATGGATTACTTCGAATTGGTTGATAAAGATGTTCTTTTAATATTCAAAACTTAATAGGTTGATATTTAGTGAGAGATTTCGTTGAGCGTTAGTTGACTGAAATAATACATATGAGTTGAGACATAGAAAAAGTAACAGTATTTATGATTTATTTTCATCAGTTTTGGAAAATCTCCTGGGAGGGGGTAGTAGGCTTGAATTAATAGAATGATTGGCTTGTGGTGTATACAAGAGACACTGTGAAAAGAGTATTGGTAATTAAAATGTATATCAAGTCAAATTATTATAACTTATTGCTATAATTTTTGAATGAATGAATTATAGTAAATTCAAAATTGAAACAAAGTTACTCCAAATTATTCTGTGTATCACGTTAATTATACTTTAATGTGGGTAAAAACCAAATCAATCAATTCATCAATTTTTAATTAAAAAATTTTGAAATTAATATTTTACCATGATTAACTCAAAAGTTATATAATCCAACCAATGTGCATATAAATGAGCTTAATATCTGCATATCCGGAAATGAAAAAATTTCTCATAAAAGTTCACTGAGGGAATCTACCTCTTTTCATGTGCAATTCAATGTGGATTTCCATATCCACTGATATCTAATTATTTTTAGATAAATGAAAAAAAACCATTGCCACCATCTTGGCATTTTTTCTGAAAAATGTAACAATTTCTATTTTTTCTTATAAATGCCTGCTATGATAAATATTCCACAAACTCAGACATTACTTGTCTTACCATTTTTCATCTTTGAATCATATCTATTTGATTTGATTTTTGTGGTACATTTTTCTTTTCATGCAAGAACTTTTTGTGTTGAAACATATTATTGAAATTATATATTTTGTAAATAAATAGTGGTCATTTGGAAGTATTGAATTAATTTCAAAACGAGTCCATGTATATAAATTTCATTTTATTTAGATAGTATACGCTTATAGTAGTATTTACATATAATACATGTTTTTAAATTGAGTTTATTTTGTGTTAATATTAGAAAAATGAGAAGAGAATAGTAAAATGAAAAATATCATTAATAACCAACAAGAGATGATAATTTTGAAAAATTAGAAAATTTATAAGAGATACTACTTAGATCTGACCCGTAAGCAAGAGCACCAATACTAAAATAAATGAAACACATTCAACAATATTTTTTATAGATCCCAAACCAAAAATCATTTTTTTTTTAATATTTACACACAAATGTATAAGATCCTTTTTGGATGTTCTTTGCCACTTACTATACTATTGCTATATTTTATAATCGAGGAGCACGCTCGCGCTTGCTCTGGCAAGTCAACAATACATTACCAATTCAGCTTCCTAATCAATTCTCTTTTAGTTCAACTGCATCGTAAGTTAAGTATATTACTAGGAACTGAAAAAAATAAATATTAAGCGACATATAACAGTTAATGTAATTAGTAACTGTTTTCTATTGCTTTTCTATATAGGAAACATATGAGTCAAATATTGATAACTAGGACTGTATTCAAACCTTGATGTTTCATTAGATGCATTTTCGATAAAATATGAGATTAATACTTTATTAAGATCACAGATTCTTCATGAAAACTAAATAAATAATCTTTCTTAGTATCCTGATGACAAACTTCATCTAAGAAATATTTATAATTCATGCAGTCATTTTTACATGATTGATCGAATACTTATTTTTGGCATTAGTCCTTTTTGAAAAGCAGATCTGTAAAATTTGGAATTTTAGTCCATCACATCACAGCATTAAAATACTTACCAAATAATGACATTTTTAGAAAAAATCAACAGTGATTTTTGTACTTTCTGTTATCGCAGGAGCAAAGAATAATACTTCTTTGTATCTTTTTTTTTATTTAAGATGAATTCTGAACTTGTAAGGCTTAATTCAAAAAATCAAGGCGTCATTAAAAATTGACTAAATTTTTTGTAATATCTGAAAATGACAGTTTAATATAAAAGATGTATAAACTAAATTGAATACCATTGTTCACAAGAAATTTGGAAATTTTTCAGAGAATTAACTTTAACCGTAAAATGATTCTGGCATGTTCTTGTCAAGTGGTAAAAAATTTTCCTTTCACCTGCTTTGTACAATTCTGAGAAAAAAAATAGTTCAATAGTTTTAAGACATTTTATTTAAAATACTTTCTTTTTACATATGTACAATAAAAATAGAATCATTTGAATGATATTGAGTATCTATTGCAATAATACTAGGAGGTCTGTACCCCACTTACTAACCTACAAAGTCGAAAAAATTTGTTTTATTTATATCTTTTTTTCCAAATCCAATCATTTTGTTGTTCGATTTGGAAAAAAAGATATAAATTGAACAAATTTTTCTGTGGGATACAGATCTCCTTAATACTGGAAATTCATTATTATTTTATAATGTTCGATATTCCAAGTAATCACAATTGTAATGGATCTGGACCAATGGGTAACTCATCTTCTACGTGAATGCAGTTTTCATCGCACTCGTGATAGTCTTCTTCGATATATATGACCTCGAAAGGGATGACTTCCATTTTTAAATATCTTGGTGTGATACTTTAAGATTAAACTCTTTTAAAACACGTGCGTGGCTGAGAGAACACTGAACACTGACGACGACAGCGTGTCGGCGTGTAGCGGAAAGCTTTATAGTTACAAGTAACGGTACCGGCATTGCGCGCGCAATATCTCGACGCACGGCATCAGCCCACTGACAGTGAATGACTGACGAAGAGAATAAAAGAGGTAAATTCAAATTCTAATTAATCATTCGGAAGATTTTTCGTTACTAAGGTTTATAGTTTCAGGCTTATATCATACAAATATTAGAGATTAATGAATATTATGCTAGCTCGTTAATTCAATTGTTTTCAACAATTTTGTACACGTAAACAAAAAATGAATTAAATCTAATTGAAAAAGTCGATTGTTGTATTATTTAATTTTTCAGAGCATTTATATAGTCTTTTGCAACATGAAATGTTGCATAACTCGAAAACTGTGATGGATAAAAATATCAAAAGATCTTTTCTCTCAGAATAGTCCAATTAATTTTTAAGAGAGTTTTTAGGTCAAAAAGCATAAACTTCAACTATTTGTTTAAAAAAATTGTTTAAACAATTTCAAGCACAATTTTCGGTATTGCAATATGCAAATTTCGAATTCAGTGAGAAATTTTACCAAAGAACATGTAGATACACCGATTAAAAATGTTTTGCTGCATTGTGAAGGATGAAGTATTCGCCACGACACTGCGTACGAGACACGAGTTTCAAAATGCTGTTACCTCTCAGCTAATGAACAAAATAAGTCGAACCTTTACAAAAAACGTCTTTAACTATCGTACTTTAAAATACAGTACTATGCAAAATTTCATTATCGAAAATGTATATCACCACTTAGGCAATTGAAAAAAGTCATGTTTCGTTTAAAAATCTTTCAAAAAATTTTCCATTTTGTTGTAAATAATAAGGTTTCGGAGCAAGTTTATAACTTTGTAGAATAGTTATAAAACGCTGTTTGAAAATTTCCTAAAAAAATATTAATTATTAACAAACATATGGCGAGTGGAAGTTTAAATTCGTCAAAATTCGATTTTTGGAAGAACATGTGGTTTTTTACCCTCATTCATATGTTCTACCCCTCGCGAACTTTTTATTGCAAGTGACCCTAAGTGAAAACTTGCAGGAAAAGTTATGTTTGTAGGTTGTTTACCAACGGTCCGGGGGTTGAAACTGTTTTAAAGGCCTATTTCATTGTAGCAATTTTAAATATCCGGCAGTTCGATCGGCTGCCGGTGCCGATGACATATTATTGAGGTTATATTATGGCTACGGTCGACTTTGTAAATATATTTGTAAAAAAGCGGGATCCTACGTACTAACTGAACTAGTTCAACAGTGTTTTGTTCAATGTTTTTTTGTTATCAGTAATAATTGTTTGCCTACATCAAGAGATTTTTACTGTGTCGTTAAAATGCTAGAAAATTTAGGCATTTTTTGCGCTCGACGCGAGGTCTACAAGCAAAATTTCAATAATATACTAAAGTTAAAGGTAAATACAAATGACTTTAAAATACATGTTTACTCAAATTGATCGTTTTTATTTGTGCAATATTTTAGACATTAACTCCAGAAATTGAGACTGAAATTCTGGATTCTCTATGTACATTTCTAATGAATCCTGAATACTCCAAAGATGTAGCAGAGTGCTTCTCGCAGTCTTTACTTAGTTTATTAACAATGAGTACAACTAGAGATCAATCTCATAATTATGATGGCGATCCGTTACATAGAATTAATTGTGTCATTATAGGAAAACTAATATTGATACATCCTGATGTATTAATGTGAGTATAAAATGCATTATTTGAAATGAAATAATTACACATCTTGATGTATACTATGTCTTCTCAGTTTTGCGTTAGATTATTTTAATAAATATCCAGCACCTTTTGAAAAATTATCCAAAGGTACTAATGAACCTAGAAAAATTAAAAGGCAAATGAGTCAATCAAGGCCTAGAAAAGTTTCAGACAGTGAAATTGTTGAGGCTACATATAATATTTTACTAGCTTTTCCAGAATATTTCAAATATAAATTTCATTGGTCTAAATTTTATAAATACTTAGGACACGATGATATAAAACTTAAATGGTAAGAATTCTTTTATAGTTTTTATACATTTGTGTTTGTATTTTTTTTTTCTCAATAAAATAATGGATAATTTTTTCAATAATTTGTATTGTTTCAGGACTGCTATAAAATGTGTAGCTATAGTATTAGAAATGTCTGAATCGCAAAGAAATAACTGTATTAAAGCTTTAATTAATAACGCTGATCAGTTCCAATTTTTGAGTGATGACCAAGAGAATGTTAAATCAATGTTTGATGTAAAACAAACATTGTCAGAACCAGAGCAATTTGAAAATCACTGTTCATCTGTGGTATCAGTTGCTGGGGTTCTTTTACCTATTTTTAATAAAGACATGACCAAATCAGTCAATGATCTAGTACCTGTTCAATCCATGAAAGAAAATCTTCGCAGTCTCGCTATTGCAGTGGTATCTAGAAAATGTATTTGTTTGCAAGGTCCAGTTGGATGTGGAAAGACTGCAATTATAGAGTATTTAGCTGAAATTACTGGACATGGACCATCAGACTTTATTAAAGTACAATTGGGGGATCAAACAGATTCTAAAATGCTTTTAGGAACTTACAAATGTAGCGATATACCTGGAGAATTTACTTGGCAACCAGGTGTATTGACTCAGGCAGTGATTGATGGAAAGTGGCTATTATTAGAGGATATTGACAGCGCTGCGTTAGATGTTGCTAGTATTCTTGGCAATTTAATGGAAACTGGAACGTTATCAGTACCTGGCTATCGTGACACAATTTATGCCAAAAGTGGATTTCAATTATTTTTTACCCAACGATTAGTTCCAACTAGTTCTGGATTTCAAAAAAAATCATGCAATGCAGTAAGACTATTAGAGAAACATTGGTTTGTTGTGAACATGGAACCTTTATCTCAAGAAGAATTGATAACAGTTGTAAAAACATTATTTCCTGTACTGAGTACTTGCGCTAAAAAAATTGTTGAAGTTTTCCTTTTATTTTCAATGGGAAATCATGAAATCGATAAAAGTGGAGATAATAATTTGAAAACAATTTTCAAAACTGGAAGGCTCATTTCAACTAGAGATTTGAAAAAATGGTGTTTGAGAGCATCAGCTGATTTTGAAGTATCATCTAATGAGTCTGCTTTGAAATTACTTCAAGATGCTATAGATATTTTCTGTTGCTCACTTACAACTCAAGGTATGTACAATGTTCATTATATATCATATTACTTATTAAATAATTTGTATCTTAGTCAACATTCATTATTTTTTGGTGTAAATTAATAATTATTGCTTGTAGCTCAAAGATTGAAAGTTGCTGTGGCCATTGCTAATAAACTAGGTATAATTGAATATCAGGCAAAGTATTTCATACTAACTCATGCAGCTAATCTAACTCCTTCACCAAATGTTTTTCTTTTTGGAAGAGGAAAAATCAATAAGAAAGAAACTTCACTTTTAGCAATCAATCAGTCGATCCCTAGATATTCGTTTACAAAACCATCAGCTCGACTCATAGAGCGTATTGCTACAAGTATAGCACAACGAGAACCAGTCTTACTTGTTGGAGAAACAGGTACTGGAAAAAATAGCAGCATTCAGTATATTGCCCAAAGTACAGGACATAAATTATTGGTCATTAACATGAACCAACAAAGTGAAAGTTCTGATTTGCTTGGAGGATACAGACCAGTGGATTTACGTGTTCTTATTATACCAATTCGGCAAGAATTTGAGGATCTCTTTAGATCATATTTTGCTACGGAACCAAATCAGAAATTCTTATCTCATATTGAAACTTGTTTTGAAAAAGCACAATGGAACAATCTTGTAATACTGATGAAACATAGTACAGATGCAGCTTTAAGACGATTAAAAAATACTATCAATGGTTCTGCCAACAATCATGGAATGATTACTGAAACAAAATGTGATCCTAGTCATACAACACTCATGAAATGGCTGAAACTCTCGTCAAAATTAGATAAACTATTATCTCAAGTTAATTCTAAGCACTCTATTGCCTTATCATTCATTGAAGGCTGTCTCGTCAAAGCTCTAAAAGAAGGCTATTGGATACTTCTTGATGAAATAAATTTGGCTAACGCCGACACATTAGAGTGTTTATCTGGTCTACTAGAAGGAGCTTGTGGTTCTCTATCATTATTAGAACGTGGCGATCGAGAACCGATCAAACGTCACCCGGACTTTACTATTTTTGCTTGCATGAATCCTGCTACCGATGTGGGAAAGAAGGAACTACCCGTTGGCCTACGCAATCGTTTTACCGAATTCTATGTGGACGAGCTCGAAGAAAGCTCCGACCTTCTATTACTAGTAAATGATTACCTGAACGAGCTGCACTTACCAATCAACAAGCATACAGCTATCGTCAAATTTTATCAGAGCGTAAGAAGTGAAGCTACACATTATTTGTTCGACGGCACGGCTCACAAGCCTGTGTACAGTTTGAGAACTTTGTGCAGAGCACTGAGCGTGGCAGCAGCTAATCCATGCATTACCGTGCTCAGATCGCTCTATGAAGCTTTGTGCTTGAGCTTCCTCACGCAACTCGATCACAAATCTTATCCCATTGTTAAAAAAATGATCGACGACGCTATCTTGGATAAAAAATCTGCCAAAGCTGTTGTTGCTGTACCCATTCCAAAACCTCAGTAAGTTGTGCATCGATATTCAACTTTACTTTTTTTTATGTAACATCGAGCGAATAGAAACGAACAATTGATGAAAATACTTTTTCCTTCCGTTAGGTCAATATCTGGGGAAAAGTATCTAAACATCGAAGGTTATTGGATAGTTCAAGGAAGTAACGAACCAGAACTGCTACCCTCTCAAAACTACGTTTTAACACCGTCCGTTCTGCGTAATTTTAAAGATGTCGTACGAGTTGTGTCCATTGGAAAAATGCCACTTCTTATTCAAGGCGACACTTCGGTTGGTAAAACCAGTTTAATCACTTACTTAGCCAGGGCCACGGGTCACGTTTGTCTGCGCATCAACAATCACGAGCATACCGATCTTCAAGAGTACGTTGGAAGCTACGTCGCCGACAAATCAGGCCGACTGATTTTCCAAGAAGGCATACTCATCAAGGCCATGAGAAAAGGTTACTGGATCATCCTGGATGAATTAAATTTGGCTCCCAGTGACGTTCTTGAAGCTCTCAACAGGTTACTCGATGATAATAGAGAATTATTTATCTCAGAAACCCAAGAAACCGTGAAAGCTCACGAAAACTTTATGCTGTTTGCAACTCAGGTAACGCCGAGCGCTCCAATTGTTGCATCTAAGTTTTGAATGCAAATCAATAACTTTATCAATGACTTCTCCAGAATCCACCCGGTCATTACGGCGGCCGCAAAGTCCTCTCGAGGGCCTTCCGCAATCGCTTCGTTGAGCTTCATTTCGACGAGATACCGACCACGGAGCTTCAGACCATTTTGCATCAGAGGTGCGCCATACCCGAGTCTTATTGCAAGCAAATCATCGCTGTAATGCAGGAGCTTCAGGTAAAACGCAAGAACACCGCGACTTTTGCCGGCAAGCGGGGCTTCATTACTCTCCGAGACCTATTTCGCTGGGCCGAGCGATACCGGCAAGCTCCTCACGTCACGGGATTGTACGATTGGAACCAACATTTGGCCGACGAAGGCTATCTCGTTCTCGCGGCTAAAGTACGAAAATCTGAAGAAGCTCAGGAAATTAGGTATGCTCAAGAATCAATTTTAATAATGTAACGGTCTTCATGAAAATTTGATATATTTCTAGGGAAATCATTAAAAAGCATTTGAAGCGTGACGTTAATCCCGATGATTTGTTCACTCTTCACGAGAAGACGTCGTTCGTAACGAGATCTATATTAGAAGAAATAGAAAAGACCAAAACAGCGTCGTTCAAAAACGTGGTCTGGACTTACCACATGCGCAGAATGGCCGTACTCGTTCGAAAAGCCTATCAGTTCAAGGAACCCGTTTTATTAGTTGGCGAAACGGGAGGAGGAAAAACTACCGTTTGCCAAATAATCGCTCACATGAGCGGACGCAAATTGTACACGGTCAATTGTCACATGCACACGGAATCGTCGGATTTCCTTGGCAACTTGCGTCCCGTGAGGGGCCACAACGACGACGATAGATTGTTCGATTGGGTCGACGGACCTCTGGTCCAAGCCATGCAGAGCGGAAACTTTTTCCTCGCTGACGAAATTTCTCTCGCGGACGACGGTGTTTTGGAGAGATTAAACTCGCTACTGGAACCCGAGCGCAGTCTTTTGTTGGCCGAGAAGGGGATAAGTTTCGACTGTACGAACGAGTCGGAAAATTTCATCGTAGCTAATGATAAATTCTTTTTCCTCGGTACGATGAATCCGGGCGGAGATTATGGCAAAAAAGAGCTATCTCCTGCCTTGAGAAATCGTTTCACCGAGATTTGGTGCGATGGATGTCACGACCGGCAGGATCTCAAGGCTATAATGGCACACAATCTCAGCGAGAAGATCGAGGATAAAGATAATTTGACCGACTGCATATTGAATTTCGCAGAGTGGTTAGCTACGACGGATGTTGGAAAGAAATTTTCTGTTAGTATCAGAGATTTACTTACTTGGACGAAATTTGTCAACGCTTGTGTGGAGAAAGAGAGAGGCAAGAGAAAACTCACTTTGAAGGATGCCTATTTTCATGGCGCTTGCTTGACGTTCATTGACAGTTTAGGCTCAGGAATGAATAACATGCTGAGGTATGACGATCAAATTATAAATTACAATACTCGAAAATTAATCCCCAAGTCCATAAAATAAACACAACAATTAGATTTATTTAAAGTACAATTTAATAATTAAAATACTTTTATATTTCCAAATTATATTAAATAAACTAATTCCGTAACTTATTTCAGCGTCAAAACCCTGAAGACCTTCGAAAATAATGCTTTCGATTTTATAAAATTGCAAATAGACAAATTAGTCGAATCAACTTCAGAAACTTCAGTAGATATCGATTCTGCGGAGACAAATCACGATGGCCTCTATGGGATATCACCGTTTTACATTGAAAGAGGCGAACTCAGCTCCGAGGAGAGCATTACGTCGTTCACCTTCCAAGCACCGACGACGCAGCAAAATTGTACAAAGCTCTTGAGAGCTTTACAGTTGTCGAAGCCAATTTTGCTCGAGGGCAGCCCCGGAGTTGGCAAAACTAGTTTGGTATCTGCTCTTGCTCAGGCTTCGGGACATAGCTGCTTGCGCATCAACTTGAGCGATCAAACCGATATATCGGACTTATTTGGTGCCGATCTGCCAGTCGAAGGCGGCAAAGCCGGCGAATTTTCATGGAAAGACGGACCCTTTTTGAGAGCTCTGAAGGCAGGCCAATGGATTCTCTTAGAATGAAATGAATCTAGCTTCGCAGTCAGTTTTGGAAGGTCTGAATGCTTGCTTCGATCACCGAGGACAAATTTACATACCGGAGCTAGGTAAATAATACATGTTTCTTTTAAATGCAGTTTTTATGCCAACAATTACTTGATTTAACTAATGAAATTATTTTAGGAAAAACATTCAATGTCAGGTCAGAAACTAAATTATTTGCCTGTCAGAATCCTTTGCGTCAAGGTGGCGGTCGTCGTGGTTTGCCAAAGTCATTTTTAAATCGTTTTACCCAAATTTTCGTTGATGCTTTATCCAACGATGATCTGAAGTTTATTGCATCATCGCAATATCCGAAAATCGATTCCATGATAGTTGAGAAAATGACTGAATTTAATTTGCGTATGGCTCGCGAAGCCGGTGTTAACTGGGGAATTTATGGAGCTCCGTGGGAAATGAATCTGAGAGACATATGCAGATGGTGTGAAGCAACGATTGAAACTGCATATATTAACACAGAAGGATCGGTCGTTTGCAACCCGGGAAATGCGGTTGAACTAATTTATGTCGATAGAATGAGAACAAGGCAAGATAAAGACAAGGTATTTTGATGCAATTTTTTTTCCATTTTTTGAAAAATGAATATTTTTATTTTTATTTTTATTAATCATTCATTTTATTTTTCCATTAGGCTAAACAAATATATGAAGAAATATTTGACATAAATGTCTATCCACTATTACCACCGGTAACTGTGCATATGAGCGAAGAAAAAGTTTATTTTGGATCGATAGCTGTTGAGCGTACTGATTCTTCCTATTGCACTGATTCAAATTTTTTATTGCTTAGAAATCAAATGTCTACTTTGCAAAGTCTCGCTCTGTGCGTTAAAATGAATTGGGTGTCTATACTTGTAAGATGGATAAAACATGTTTAATCAAATGTACTATTACTTAAATATCGATTGTTATAATCTATTAATTAATAGGTTGGAAGCTCTGGAAGTGGTAAAAGTAGTGTTGTACGCGTACTCGCTCAAATGGCTGGTCAGAAACTGAAGTCAATAGTAGTCAATTCAGATATGGACAATTCAGAAATATTAGGCGGTTTTGAACAAGTATGATTTTTTGTCTTATTTTTATAATATATATGTGATCGGATACTTTAAATAAATGTCGATCCTTTACGTTTAGACCGATTATAATCGACACTTGGAATACTTAATTGAGCAAACAGAGACTTTACTGATCAAACATTTAAAAACAAAAGTTCAGAAAGAAAACATTGGCCAAATTGAAAAGTACCATAGTTTGATTGAACATGTTCGCAGCTTCTTAGACGGTAATAACTCGATTTTCAATTTTTAATAATGATTAAATTTATAATAACTCAATTATTGAATTTTCATAATTTTCAACGTAGATGAATGCAAATTGCTCACCACGTCTGCAGCAACGGAACAATTCATTCGTAGAATAGACGGATTATCGATGTTGCTCGCTGAAATGAAGCGAGAAAAATTACTTTTGACAGAAATACGAGCTATCAGAGTACAACTGCGACAGCTCAAATCATGCGTAGAAGAAGATCAATGTCTCAACGCCGGTGGTAAATTCGAATGGGTCGACAGTGTTTTAGTGAAGGTACAGTACTCTGAATTTCATAAATTTGTAAAGAAATGAATTTCATGTAGCTTTTACTGATTCGGATTTTTCGTAATTCAGTGTCTAAAAGAAGGAACATGGCTGCTGATAGATCAAGTCAATTTATGCAGTCCTGCAGTATTGGACAGGCTTAACGGATTGTTAGAACCCAACGGAGTACTCAGTATCGGAGAACGAGGTATTGGCAGTGATGGCAACATCGTAACCGTTAAACCTCATGAAAATTTCCGGTTATTCTTTGCTATGGATCCGAAGCACGGAGAAATTTCAAGGTAACAGTCGATTGGAAGAGCCCATTTAAAGCCAATGTTCGTTCAAACTCAATTAAATTAATGAATATTTTTTTAATTTTTCATTTTAATTCCCAGGGCTATGCGCAACAGGGGCGTTGAAATTTTCTTGTTGCCCAATCAAGAAAGCCCTGATACCGTCGACCTCGACTACCGTTCGCTTTTGCATCAAACCGGACTTACCAAACGCAACCATCAAGAAGCTCTGATGATGCTGCATAAACGCATGTGCGAAGATATATCGAACTGCGATAATCTGAACGTTATCCAACTGTTGCATACCGCTTTTTTGGTGGTGCAACAACTCAGACGTGCTTTCCCAGTTGTCCAGGCATTCGAGAGCTCTTGCAAGGACGTTTATATACGCGCCAGGTCGATCTTCGATCATGAAACGCGCTTGCGTCTCATTGCAATCATCGTAGATACTATTTGTGAGTACGAGGTCGGCACTGCAAGTGACTACGTTTTCGATATGAATGTAGCTACATGTAATTTGGATAGCTTGTATGAGAATTCAAAACTTTCTATTATCAAACATCATGGCTTTCTTCTGGATTGGTGCGTCCGAGAGTACTTGCGTGTGTCAAAAGAACACCCAGAAAGTTTAGTAAATCTGAAAACTGAATTTTTCAACAACTTTTTTTCTTACGATGTCGAATCAACGAGTACTGGTCTAATGGAAATTGTACCTTATATTTTACTCAATTTTTACGAATACTCTACTATGGCCGATGTAGAGCAGAGAAAAAAATGGGCTTCTAGTTTATTCGAAAGATGTTCTGGTATGAAATACTTTGGTATTAAAAGTGAAATTCTTGCCACTGATGTTTCAAGATACGAGTTAGACAGCAATTTGGACATTAATTTACCCTGGGACAATAAACTATTTAAAAGAGCTAATAATATGGCCCTCATACTGTTCTTTGATATGCTGATTGCCGATCACGATACCAGAGCCAATTTGACGATCAAAGAATCGGACGAATTCATAACTGTTGCTCAATTTTCTGAAGCTACTCGCATGGGTGAAACAACGTTCCAATTACATGACCAATTATTAATATCAAAATATGGAACGATTTTACATCAGTTTAAACGATGCATCAATGGCATGATAAAAAGTACAAAAACCGTCCTAGATAATACCAAGTATGTCCTTCTTCGTCAGAAATTACAATCGTATAGAAGATTTTGTAATTTAGGAGATAAGAACCTGATGAAAAAAACGGACCTTATGAATATATCTGATGTAAATATGGATGAAATTGCTTTGTTGCTGAAAGTTCATTTCAAATGGTTAAAAAAATGTGTGTTTTTCCTTAACGAAATTTACGAAGATAGATCTTCCAATCCGAAGTACAAAAAAGATTTTAAACAGTTGAAAGAAAGTATTCATCAAGTGGAAAAGGAATCAGCGACAGTGTACGATCCATTCCGAAAAGTTTGCAAACTATACAAAAAGCAAATAGTTTCTTCGTTAGCTTGCTCATTTAATACAGCATTAAACGTGTATTCTCAGCTTAAATATGTTACAGAATCTTTTTCACCGTCAAAAAACAAATACTTCAGTGGTCCATTATCAGAAGAATCTAAATTCATTACCCTTCAAACTGAAGAAGCATTGAAAATAAGATCAGAATTGATTCATCTTTGGCATAAATTTTACATCAACGAAGAATTCGAAGAAGATGTTTTGGAAAAATTGTTCAAAATCGGTCATTACTGTGATGAGCACTTCAATATTTCTACTTTTTCTGATGATAAATTATCAAGTGTTTTAAAAACGAATTCTTCTAAAGACTTGATCAAATGGACAGCCAAAATTCAACTTTGGCCTATTCATGAGTATATGCTAAATTTATACATTGGGATGGTTCAAACACAATTGTTTAAGAAGTTTATCAGCGAAGAAAACGATTATAGTCTACCATTCTTCAACTTGTCAGATCATGAAATAGAACTTTCAAATGTTCCGACCGAACTTTTAGCAATATTAAAAGCCATACAGACGAAAAAAGATTTGCCTGAAGAAAGAAATCGGCTAATATTCGCACTTTCTATTTGGTTCACGAAATTCAGTGAAAATTCGTATGCTACAAAATACTACAAAGAAGTAAGTACTGCTAAAAATATTCATAAAAATTGTTATTTTATTTTTGAATTAACGTTATTTCGTTGCCCATTTTCAGATAACTCATTGGCAAGCTAAGTGTACTGAACTTCAAATCAAATCTCCCGTCGAACGAGAAGAAATGAGCTTGGAAAATCCCGTTAGTGGTCCCGTATTAATAAATCTAGTCACCGAAATTCTTTTAAATAAAAATCAAATAGATCATCGTAGTCACGGATCGTTGAACTTTGAAGCCAATCTTGGAAGGTATCAAGCTTGTTTGCATCAACTACAAACAGTAAACGATATGCTATGGGCAAATAGTGTGTCGATAAATTCGCAACGCTTTGATTTCATTGCAAATGATGTCGAGACATTGCGTTTGTTGGTCAGTAACTTTTTATCGGCTAGCGAGCAAATCGACACCGATACTTTATTTAAAAAACATCTTAAAAGTGATAAATCTGGGTCAAAACCTATTATCGAAGACGAGTACTTGAAACCTTTAGAAGAACTTAGAAAAATTTCCAAAACTTTGGAACAGGATACAAGTAATCCAGTTAGGGGTAAAGCTTGGACTTTATTAGGCTTCTTGCAAACTTTTGTTTTTGGTAATATTGGCTACATCGATCCAGTATATAAAGTAATGATCAAATTGGGCTACGTTGATGACGAAATATCTGATTCCAAAAGTACCCTGTATGTTGCCAAGCTATACTCGAAAATTTTAGGATTGGCTGATTCTGCAAAACATCATCCAAGACTTGTAGAAATTGAACGCAATCTACAAACATTGAAAATTGAGAAAGAATCATTACAGAGTCGGCAGTCAGTCAGACCCTCGAATTCCGAGTTTACCGCTTTATCAAAAGAGTTTTCTAACTTCCGACAATCTCTTGGTTCATTTTCTGTTATTGATAAACATATAAAACAATTAAGCGAAACAATATCACAACTTGAATTCCAGGGAGATTTGAAATTCTTGGACAATGCAAAATCGACCAATCGGGCAGCTGAAATCTGGCTAGCATCGTTACGTGGCTTTATGAACAAAGTAGAAGAACAATTTTTACTCGGTTATCCCGATATGGTTTATCCTGTAATTACCGGTCTTGCACGAATTCATCATGGCATACGAATACTCATTGAAGAAAGCAATCGTTTGATATCTGCGTCTGAAACAAATCTTGGCGCGGAAAAACTTGAATCTCTCTTATGCAATTTAGTTCGTTTTCCTACTTTTGGTTCTAGTCAAGAAAACTTTTTGGAGCTCGTAAATTTGTGCACTTCGCGAGAAAGTCGCGAGCTTGTATTATTCAGCGTTATGCCTGATAATAAGCTTCTAGCTGTGCGTGAACAGTTTCGTCTCACCATGTCCGGGTTGTATGAAATTCAAAATTACATTGTTCTCAAAGGAACGTTGACTAAAAAAACATGGGTTGAATTGAACGAACTATTGAATCAAATCGTTGCAACATGGCGTCAACAAAAAGCAGAAACAGAAAAGCACGAAGATGAAAATATAATGGCAGAAATATCGGACGAAGAAGAACAAATCGATCGGGAACTTAAAATTCTATTTCCCACTTATCGTGATGATTTGGCAGATATTGACGAAACTTTTACACCTGCTTTAGAAAAAAGTGTTTCGCCGAATAAAGAAAATAACTATGTTACTCTCCTTACTGATACTGATATTCAAAAGGTTTGAATTTTTAATTGCCAGATGCACGGAAATTAAATATGAATACATCAAAGTTATAAAAATTATCTTTTTTTTTCAGGTTCACGAGATACATTCAAATATCGTGAACTTTTATATTACCTCGGAATGGTTAATGAGGAAATCATCCCAATTAGCAGTTCACTACGAAAAACCACTTCTTCAACGCTATAGTACATTTGCAATAATCTCAAATAAAATTTCTCCAGCTTTGAGCAACAATCTTACAGAAAATTTATATACTAGCATTAATCTACTAGCTTCATTTGCTAGACGCTTAAACCGAGGAGAAGTTTTAAACCCACTTAATAACGTAAAATCGTCGAAGCCGTATGATTATTACAGAGACAGTAATGTAAAAGAAATTGAAAATTGCATTCCTCTCCTCGAGAATATCACCAATAAAGTTTCGGATTTATTAAATGAATGGTCTCAACATTCAACTTTAAAGTCAATTAAGGTAGTGCTTGAAAAAATTTACTCATTTCCTGTTACGTCTGCGGTATCCAAATTTTTGACTGGCTTTGAATTGCTTCTTGTGAAAATGCATGAATGGGAGGAAAATGCACCCCACGATGCATCATTAAGCGAGTTCATATTTGCACTGATAAGGCAAATAAAAGAGTTACGAAAACTTGAACTTGCTTGCTGGAAGGATTGCCTAGTAGCCACTGAAACAAAATTGCAAGAAAATGCTTCTAAAAATTGGTTCTTTTTATATTCCCTGACCGACAGTTACATCAAAAAAGAAAAATTGAAAGGTATTTAAATTATTATTTCTCTTCATTTTGTACTGATTCACCCGGAAAATAATTAAATAATATTTTTTAGGCGAGGAGGAACCTATCACATCTGTCAAATTAATTAAATCATTAGAACTTTTCATGAAAGAATCGCCTCTGGTCGAATTTAAAGCGCGGTTACAACTACTTATGACATTCCATCATCATGCTTACTTCGCGAAAACCTGTACCGAAAGGGATGAATTGCTTGCTATCACGTGGAACGTCCACAATTATTACTCGCAATTTTCATTAGGCATTCAAAAGAGATTAAATGCTGTAAAAGCACCTATTGAAAATAAACTAGAAGCTTTTCTTAATATTGCTCGATGGAATGATAAAAGCTATTGGGAAGTCAAAGAAAAAGTTAAGGAAACTCATCGTACTTTATACAAATACATCAAAGAATATGAAACTAATTTGAAAGATCCAGTGACACCTTATCTTATAGTGAAGCCAATTTCTGAAGGTGACGAGGTAAGTTTTTTCCAACATTTAAAATCATCTATCTATCGAAAGTAGAAATGTTGTTTATTAATATTTGTTCTTCTTTATTATAAAGGGTACGTTTGATCGTTTATATCTACATGATAATGATCACATTACGTCAGTTGATCCCAAAGAATTCACCGTTTCAATCCCTGCTCATTCTTTCAATGCTCCAACAGTACAAAGTGATTTGATTACCAGAGCAGAAAATCACTACTTGACTCGGGCTACAAAGCTTTGCGAAAAAATTATTTCTTCTTCCTCGTATTATAGTTTACGTATGGAATTTGAAGAATTTATCAAAGAAAAAGTAGGTAGTAGCATAGAATTACGAGAACTAAAAATTGGTAAAAGAGTGCCTTTGTCGGTAAAAAAACGGAAAGCTAAGTCTATCTTGCAACGAAAAAAATCAGCTCTTTCTGATTACTTTGAAGATATCAAGAGTTTTGGAGTATCGAATGTGAATGTGAACAGTGAGTCAGAAGGGCTCGACTTTACCATACCACCATTAGAACTTGAAGCTGCTCTGAAAAATACGCTTGAATTTGGGAAACTCGATGAAAAAACAATAAACCAATGGATAGGATGCGAAAAGTAAGTATTGATGGTTTCATTTATAAAAATTATATTATATTGAATTGCAATTTATATTTTATTAAAATTTTTAGATACTATTATGGCTCTCTTAGCAAACTGAATGCTTTGATTCAATCGCTTTCAACAAACGCAACAGATTTAGGAGTAAATAATATAGAATTGTGCAAAGGATTCTCTGCCCACCTCATGCTTTTAGCCAATGAACAGAAGAAAAATCTGGCCACTGTTCTCAAATACTTCATTAGTCTTCGATCGCAAATCAATGATTTGACTTTCATAAATCCTGATGACAATACCGCCACGAAACAAAAAGATATTCGAAATAGCGCCAACAACTTACGCGAGTTACTTATAACTATTCGAGCTAGTTTAGATCAACTTTTGGTCTATCTGCATGCTTGCCCGGAACAATCGAATTCAAGAGACGTCAGTAGCATTTACACTTTATCATCTCATGAACTACCTTTTGAAGAGTGTAAAAAAGGAGACGCTACATGGAAAAAAGCCAGTAGTTACATTACAGAGTGCTCAGACATTGTTTCGAGCTTAGCTGAAGAGTTCAATAAATTATTTCCAGAAATGTATATCTTATGTGGTGAAAATAATGAAATGGAAGACCAAGTAAATATAATCAATTCTAGACATTTCGGATTCTTGAAAAACAGTTTTGAGAGCTTGAAAACTGTCAGAGATAAAATAATCGAATTTTCAAATATGTTTATTACAAATGATGGTTCGTACCATCCATTACTTAATAATATTAAATTTTTGGAAGATAGTATTGGCGACAAAATCAAAGAATTCGATAATCTGGTCACAGCTTTGAACAAACCACTGGAATCGGAGGACACGTGGAGTACCGATAGTTTAGATCAATATGAAATTGAATTAGAAAAACTAGTCAATATGATTTTGATTGTCATTCAAAATAAATACAAAAATATAGTAGGAGCGATATCTGAGAAAAACGGAGATAATGCAAACAGTAAAGTTGATGGAAAATTAAGGGACAAATTAATAAAGTCCATAGAAATAGATATCAAAGCATTAAAACTGAAAGACATTCATCAAAGTTTAAACAGTTTATTAAAAACGACGTTCAATGTCGATCAGAGGAGTATTCTCAGTTACACGAGGCTTCTTCAAAAATGCTTACCACTGTTCCAACAGTATCTTTTGCTCGCTCAATTTTATATTAACGAACAAACAGCTTCGTTACGATTGACGTGTAAAATTTTACACTTGCAACTCAACGTTTTTTTAGATCTTGCCAACAACGGATTTTGTATTCCAGATGATTTAGATCTTACATCGAGTGACGAAGGTGAACAGGAAAAAGAAAACGAGAATGGTATGAATCTCGGTGATGGCGAAGGTCAGAGAGATGTTTCTGATCAAGTAGAAAATGAAAATCAATTGGAAGAAGCAACATTGGTCGGTCAAGAAGGAAAAAAATTAGATGATGAAGATAGTACTGAAAAGAATGAAGGAATCGAACGTTCTGAAAATGTTGAGGAAAAATCACAAGACGTGAATAAAAAAGATGACGATAAGGAAGAAGATGAAGCTTCAGATTTAGATAAGCAAACGGATGAGATCGAGGATGTAACTGACAAGCTCGACGAACAAATTTGGGGTGAAGATGAGGAAAAACTTGAAGAAATCGGTAATGGAGAACAGTCAAATACTGAGTCTCAGCAAGATTCTCATGGTCAAAGTGAAGAAATAGAAGCGTCTGAAAGAGACCAACAACAAGGAATAAATGAAATGAAGGAACCGCAGTACGACGAAGATCAAGTGAATCCTTCTCATGGGCAAATGGAAGCTCCAACCGAACCAGAAGGACTTAATTTACCCGAAAATATAAATATCGATGAGACAGAAATGAGAGACGATGAACCAATGAACGAAGAAAATCCTTTCGACTTAGACAAAATGAGAGGAGATATGGTTTCTCATGAGCCGGACATTTTTGAGACTACGGAAGAAGTGGTTGATTATGAAGTTGAGTCAGAAAAGTATTATTCGGGTGATGATAAACATGATCCGGAAAAATCTTCGGATAATTTTGATAATCACGAAGTAATTACCATCGATGAAGACCAGAATATGACAGATGCTGAAGTAACTCCATCTTCGCAAAAAGTTGAAAAAGAAGAAGAAAATGGTGAACCAGAGTCAAAAAATAAAGACGAGGATGAAAATCAAGAAGACAAATCTTTACCGCATAGTGGCGAAGCAGCTCAAGGACTACCGGAAGGTAGTTTACGAGATACAATTTCTAAAGAATCGATCGATAATCTCGAGTTTAATTCGGAATCTAATTCTGAAAATTGGCAAGATGTAAAGGACATATTAAATAATCACACACTAACAGATCAGGCTGATGCCGTAAGTCATATTTTTTTAATTAATAAGTTTAACTTCTACAGCAATTTCAATGACGTTTTTTCTTTTACAGGAAAAGAAAAGAAAAAATATGAGTGAAAGCGATGAAGACTACGAGTTAACCGAAAGCAATGAGCCTAAACAGAAAAAAATAAAAAACATAGTTAATGCTCGAAATGAATCAGCTGAAGATGTGATAGGAGTAAGTGAATCCGATTGCTATGAAGTAGATAATGCAGTGGAAAAACTGTTAAAAGAAAAAGTTTCTAATATTGAAAGAGAAGAAAGATCGTCTAAAAAACAACATGAGGAAGCGATGGATGTCGACGTGTATGAAGATGAAAAAATCGAACCAATGGACGATGATTTTTCTGTCAAAGATAATCTAGAAAAAGTTGATAACGAAAAAAAAGCTAATGATAGTCAGCTTGAAACGCCAGCTGAGGTTGATATTCAAGGTGAAGTTACTGAAACCACGAAAGTTTCGCGAGGCGATGAAGTAAATTTCTTTATCAATAACATTACGTTCGAACCGGAAACCATATCGTCTGAACAAATTGAATCTCGAAGAGTAGAAGTTGAAAAAACTCTCAGCCAATGGGTTCAGAAACCATCAACAGCCGAAGCATTGGCAGCTTGGAATGATGTCAGTGCAGTGACACATATTGGTGCCTGTGATCTGGCAGAAAAACTCAGGCTAGTCTTGGAACCTTCCCAAGCGACTAGTCTAAAGGGCGATTATCGTACAGGTAGACGTATTAATATGCGAAAAATTATTCCGTACATCGCTAGTCAATTTCGTAAAGATAAAATTTGGCTACGTCGTACTAAACCATTCAAACGCAACTATCAAATTGTATTAGCCATAGACGATTCCAGTAGTATGGTAGACAATCATTCCAAGGTATTGGCATATGAGTCTGTTTCACTTATAAGCAAAGCTCTGACTCATTTGGAAGCTGGAGAACTGAGTATAATAAGCTTTGGAGAAGAGACAAATATATTGCATCAACTTGGTGATACATTCACTGAACACAGTGGTGCTAGGTAAATGAAAATCATAGCATAATTACTTGATTTGACAAGATAAATAGTAGTTGGGATAAACTTTATGATTTCTTTTTTAGATTGATGCAAGAAATGAGATTTGAGCAAAAGCAAACCTTGATTGCAAAAATGCTCGATTTTACAGTAGATATGTTCGAGAGTCATAGTAGCTCCTTGGATAATGCCAAATTGCTAGTCATAATATCAGATGGACGAGGCGTATTTTCGGATGGAATCCAAAGAATTAAATGTGCTATTCGAAGAGCTAGATTGGCAGATATTTTCTTAGTTTTTATTATTGTAGATAGTCCCATGAACAAGGTAAATTATTTTATAGTTTTAATTTTGTCTTGGTTTATTCTTTTATATTTATCAACAAATTAATTTTTTTAGGAATCCATTTTTGATATTAAGATGCCTGTTTTCAAAGATGGTAGATTAGCAGCAATGAACCCCTACATGGACAGTTTTCCATTCCCATTTTACATGATTTTGAAGGACATAAATACTTTGCCTGAAGTTTTAAGTGATGCTTTGAGGCAATGGTTTGAGATTGTGGGAATAAATCACTCGTAAATTGTATCATAAAACATAAAAATCAATTTATTGCATGTTTAGTATGTATGTTTCTTAAAATAATTGAATGAATCGTTTAACCAATGAATTTATACATTTATAATTGTAAATAAAGTTGAATTTTTGGTCATATTTCAAGAATGATATAATTGAGATCTAGGATTTTATCATTTTTATGCATTTTGTCATTAATGTTACCCAAACCTACACTTTATTGTGTTTAATTTAAGCCTGAAAATGAAAAACTTGTTATCATTAGCTGTAAGGAAAAATTTGAAAAGTAAATATTTTTAGAAAGGAAAAAAAGAAGATTTATTAGAGATCCATCAAATCGATTTTAACCATTGAAATTTAAACCTTCCCTCTATTTAACTTAACCTATTAAAGTGTAGCAGAAAGATTTTTTCGGCTTGCGAACTGTAGCAGACATAATAATAAAAACACTGAGTGTTCGCTGTTCAGTTAGTGATGAACTTGAACAATTTTAAGCTCCATAAATATCGATAAATATTTTCTACATAATTTTTCATTTTTATCTTGCATGAAATTGAAGTGAATTTAAATCAAAATGAATGTATTTCGTAGTAAATTAAAAAACTCTGCAAATTTAGTTGGAAGTATTATTCAAGGGACAAGAGGTTATTCTACTGCCAAAAAGATACCTATTGAATGGATAAGGCCTGTAAAAATACCTTGCATTGATCCTAGAAAAAGTGGTGATGGAGGAGTAGATTTTAATGTCAAGCCCACAGACTTTGTTGGGAAATATGTATATTCCCAAGAACTAAAGCAAGAGTATGTAAATATTATTTTACTTCTATTGTCATGAAACTTGAATTCTAATTTTAAATTTTTTCTAGAACTGATGAAAATGTCAAGAAAATATTTACTGTAGAATTTAATAGAAGAAAAGAAATGATTACTCTTGAAAAACAAAAGGCAACTCAATTACTCCAAAGACATTTGTATGATACTAACTCAATGGAAACAAAAAGTAGGATATAATGTTATTTTATATCGAATGATCACAGTAAATCATCCAGTAGTTTTTGGCAGAGTTATCCATGAATAAATAAATATGAAATTTTTTTTAAATTGAATATTCCTACTGAATAATGAATTTTAATTTGAAAAAGATTTTGCATGGATTATTTTACTTGATTTTCAAAACTGCTAAACTTATTAAAATACCTAATAATTAGATAAGTTTATAATTTAACTCATGAAAGTTAATGTGATTTTAATTTTTTTTTTTTTTTTAGTTGGTCGGATAACAGTTCATATATTGAGGCTGCAAGAAATTCAAAATATAAATCCAAATGATAAAAGAACTAAATCAATTTTGAAAGAAATGATTGAAAAAAGAAAAAAATGGTTAAGAAAATTAAGAATGCATGATTATCCTCGTTTTGAATATATACTGAAAAATTTAAATCTGACGTACAAACCATTTTCACAGTAAGTTATACAAACAAACTTTTTTTCAATTCATATAATAATGTCATGATTAAATAATATCATAAATGAATATAGGTTCAATCCTTACATAAATCGTAAACCATCTACAACTCACATGTTAGAAAATTATTGTGATAATATGATACAACAAAAATTGGAAGAGTACAAAAATGAACTTGAAGAACAAAAAGGAGAATTTTTCAAAGATAAAGTAGAAAAATTGCAGTTCATTAGAAATGAAGAAATTGCTTGTGGTAAAGAACCTACTATCACAGAGGAGATGATAGAGGAAGCCCAAAAACAAGCAGCTAGCATTAAAAAATAATCAAATGTTTCGATTTATAAATAAATAAAAATACTTGTTTCTTTAATAGTTTTATTTAATTGTTTTCATCACGCTGTCCATTTGATCAGCGCAATTTTATTTCATGGGTCTGCATCCAATTAGGAAATGAATTTTAATATTTTATATAATGAAACATTAAATTTCAGTAATTTAGTTTGATAAGGCTTTCTGTATAGAAAACTTATCACTTTCTGTAATGGTTCTCACCTATTTATAATATTTTCAACAAAATTTTGTAAAGTTTGTAGTAGTACATATTTTTTATTATGTATTGTAACAAATTGCAAGTTGTTAACAGCAGATAGTTACGATAATTTTCAATTCTTATCAGTACAAAAAACAATTAATTTTTACACTTATTTTATATTATTTTGCACGTTATTATATATCTAATATAGATATTTCAAAAACATTTACCAACGTTTTTAGTATAATAGCAAAGTTTCGTCGTATGCGGAATAAATTTCGTCGATGTGAATGGTATTAGATATCCATTCAATTATCAAAAAAGGTTTTCTGTTTTTATAATATGAGAAGTCGAAACCAAATTATAGCAAGAGTACAAATACTGCTTGGTCTCATTTCAATCAAAGACTTATAAAATATGCAGATGAATTTAGAAAATCCTATAATAAATCATGTATCAAATTTACTTAGTAAGGTTTTTAGTTCATTAAAAAAAAAAGCCGCCTGAATTATTTTACAATATAAATTCATTTTCAATCAATAGAATGACTGTTATTTGACTGCAGATCTATTCCTCTTTGTAAATTTAATTATATTCTTTAAAAAGAGCAGATACACGCAGCACATTTACTATATTTTAATGAGTATTTTGAAGAATGCGAAAGAAATCCATCAGAAAAACTCTTAATTTGGTTTTCAGATGATAGTTTTCAAGTGATGAATATTTAAAATATTCAACATTTGTACACTATTAACATATTACATTTCTATTACCAATATATGAATATTATCAAAAAGTGATTATATCCTAGAACTTTTTTTACTCATAAAAAAAATTAGGTAAAAGCAAATTGAACTTTAAAAATGCTAAAAAAATTTAGCATTGTGATTATAAAAATTCAGAGAAAAACTTCTCATTACAGTATTAGTTTATTTTGGTCATTAAACATAAAATTCCACCTTTTATATTAAAATTACTTTTAAAGCATTAAATTATTGTTTTTGGACAGAGGTAAAGTTATGATAAAAAATTTAAAAATCAAGAAATGAACTATTCATGATCTTTTTACATTTCCTAGTAATGACAAACAAATATTAACCGATGTTCAACTATTTTTGCCTACTTATCTATTACGAGATCTCTTATTACCACTTTTTTTAGCACTGTTGGAAGGGCGACTTTTGTTTGTATCTTTGCTGCTGTGACTATCTTTCACAGGTGTTGTATGATCAAGTTTTCCATTAGATAAAGGACCATTTGATTGTGCAGATAATGCAACATTTTCATTACTGCTAAGGGGTCCATTGTTTTGAGAAACTCCTGCTTGACCAGAAGTGTGATTTTTACCAGTTTCTTTGCTATTGCTAGTTGATACTGTATTTGAATTATTGTAATTACAATTATCTTCACTGCCACTGTTTCCAACTTGAGATTCTGATTCACTGTACCGATCAACTAAAATGAGGTTTTTCATTAGAAGCCAAAATATAATTTAAAAAATCTTAGATAGATACATGCATTTCAAACATTACATATTTATTAAGTATAAGAAACAAAAAAATTAAACACTAGGAGATTTAAAATTTAATGAAAGTTTATTTAAAAAATAGTTTTTGATTTTAAATTTCTATGAAAATTATTACAAGTACAATTTTTGAGAATGAAATTAAGAATGTTTTGTACGAGATAGCTTAGCTCTTCACATCAAGTTTGATTTATAAATCATTTGAAGGGAATGTCAAACCATGATAAAAATAAACACTTTCAAACCTATTATCTGAGACATTTACTGAGTATTTTTCTAAATTGCTGTATTGTAACCTTTGTATTCTTTGTGATACAACCGATTCAATTAGAAAAACATTAAGTTAATATCCCAGATAACAGGTTTAAAAATTTTAATTTTTACACAGCTTAAGCATTGCCTTGAACATAAACAATTAGATTGTTCAATCATCTTAACATAGATTATAGTGTGCGGTTGTTAAATTACAATACCCAATGCTAAGATTTCAAAAAGCACGAAAATCTTTCGAGTCAGAAACTTTCGTTTAAATTTAAATTCTAACTACCACCATTATGTCAATGCAATTCTGTTAGAAAATAAAATTCATTCGAAAAATCATAGTTTCAAGAAGACATATTTATAAAGCACCAATAAATTGTGGTTTAACATAAAGTCAAAAACAAAGTATTTGTATATATCTACTAACATGCATATAAATTATATAGATATATTATTTTGTCAAACATTGACAAACTTGAATACTTTTTACAACTCTACTCCTAACAAATCAAAAGTACCAAGCTGAATATTTGGTTTAAGCAATCAATGAGAAATATACAAAAGAATGCAAGTGCATTAAATTGGTTCTATGCAAATAGAACAAAAGCGTCATAGGTGTCAAATCATTAATGACTACAGGTAACTGTGAGTCTAGAATTATCAATATCCGTTCACATCCTTACTTTTTTCCTGTGAATTTTCTGCCAACCCACTGACAGCCTGAAAAAATTATTTAAATTACAAATAAATTATTTATGATTAATTAAAATAAATATTATTAAAACTGAAACCCACGGCTATAGATGTGATGGAAGATTTTGAAAATAGTCGTTCAGCTTCTTTGAACTTTCTATTTCGTTTATCAGATTTACTGTTGGTATTTTTGTTGCTGGCTAAATATCTATCCCAGCCTCGAATGATATTCCCATACAGTTGCGTATCCTCCAAGTAACTACCTTCAAAGGCATATATTTGTCTTTCCAGATTGGCTAAAGTTTCCTGAAAAGTATTTTGAAAGAACTCAAAACCTTATAATTCTTTCAATTGCAAAATGATAAAGGAATGGTGAAAAAACTGTCAAGAATTATATAAAAATGAAAATATTAGTTGAGAAACTAACCTAAAAATTCAATTTGGAAGTTATTTGTAATTAAATCATATTCATTAAATAAAAGAGCAATATATGCAAGAAAAATCAAGTCTAATGATGAAAATTTAATCGTTTATACTTTATTACTGATGAATTTGCACACAAATAGGGGGAAGATTATTCTGAAACTTGCTCAAAATTTGCTTAAAACATCACTTACGGCTATTTCTGCTTTTCTCTTAACAAGATCGGCTAATTCGCCCCTAACATCTACGCTTTGTTTTGCGTTTGCAGCCATAATTTGTTTGAATTTATAGAAAATAAATGATTGTTTTGGTCAATCACACAATTTTCACTGTGGAGTTTATTATGTTATGAATTATGATCCGTCTGCAACGACCAGCCAGTGCATAGACAGTAAACTAAAGACTCCGCTTAATGTCATCTCACAATACTCAATAGGCTGTTTTCACAGTCGTCAGTGACGGTCACAAATCGACCAGCTGATTTGACTGGAGGCCAAACAAAGCGACCGCCCATATACTTTACATGTTAAAGTTGGTTGGTAAAAGTTCTTGTAATTAGTTTAACGTTCGGTAAAAAAATAAACAAAAAATATCTGGAGAAAGCGGAAATCCTTATGTATCGAAATATCGAAGCGGTTTTAGTTAAAGTTTTTAGATTGTAAATAAAAAAACATTGAAATTTCGGCTTTTTTGTCTGTTATATTGTCAATAAACTCTAATAAAATAGTTATTAAAAGTGGTTTTTTGGGTTGCAATACAAACCCTCAAGCGGAGAATTGTTTATTCTTTCAAATTACCAATGAAAAACTAAAAAACAATCGTAATTAAGAATATTATTTTTCCACCAACAGCAGACTTAGTTTGGAAGACGATTACGAGATCATTTTCATAATTTTTAGAAATTACGATTGTTTTTTAGTTTTTCATTGGTAATTTGAAAGAATAAACAATTCTCCGCTTGAGGGTTTGTATTGCAACCCAAAAAACCACTTTTAATAACTATTTTATTAGAGTTTATTGACAATATAACAGACAAAAAAGCCGAAATTTCAATGTTTTTTTATTTACAATCTAAAAACTTTAACTAAAACCGCTTCGATATTTCGATACATAAGGATTTCCGCTTTCTCCAGATATTTTTTGTTTATTTTTTTACCGAACGTTAAACTAATTACAAGAACTTTTACCAACTAACTTTAACATGTAAAGTATATGGGCGGTCGCTTTGTTTGGCCTCCAGTCAAATCAGCTGGTCGATTTGTGACCGTCACTGACGACTGTGAAAACAGCCTATGACGGGCCGAATGTTTTGATTTCAAGTGCGCGAAAAGTGAAGGTAAAATTAAGAAGTACGTCGTTTTTTGCAAATGTTATTTATAAAATTAAAAAGTAATATTACCTAAAACGAAGCTTTTATTATTACAATTTAATTTCAAATTTAAACTTTACAATAATCGTCAATTTTCATTCTTATCTTTATTACTTTTAATCAGTTGCAAAATAAATTTCTCATACGCATAATGCTCGGCAAACGAATCCGCGTAATGTTGCACGCCTTTTCTCAAGATATTGAGCGCGTTCAACATTTCTTCATTAGTTGGCACTTTTTGGACTTGGTCCTCGAACTCGCGATCGTCATTTTGATCGGCCTCTTCGATCGAATTACTCTCATTGTGCGCAAAATTCTCATCTATGCCGAGCCAATCGTTGAACGTAGCCTCTGATAAACCCTCGGGCGGTGCGAACGCATTGTTGCCCGGCGCGCACGTTATGCTCATCACCTGCCTGCAGCTGCTGTCTCGCGGCGAAAAACCCGCTGTTTTGAAGCAATTTACGATGGTCTCACTACTGACCAAATTCCAGGCTTCGTTGGCTAAATGCAACGCCTCGAGTAGAGTTATTTTTTTAGCGACATCGTTGGTCTGCGCCTCTTTGTTATTTTCTATGAGCTCTATTGTGCGCTTTAGCATCTCTTTCCTGTAGTGAACTTTGAACATTCGAATGATACCTTGATCGCAGGGCTGAACGAACGACGTGGGTAAGTTAAGAATTTTGATGTTGTCGAATTTCGGCAGATCGCTGTGAGGCTTGTGGCTGCTAACGAGCAGTAAAATACGGCGCCGCTCGATCGCCAATCGTTCGTTCCATTTTCGCAGCCACTCGGTGAAAATTTCTCGCGTCATGCATGCATTTTTATTCGTCTCGAAATCCACGGGTAGCTTCCTGACGTTTTCAAAGCAATTACCGTTGGCCTTCTCGCCGATCACGAGGAGCGTGATTTTTTCGCCCGACATGCTGGCGCAACACAGCAGAGTCACGCGCTCCTTGCAATCGCAACGAGTGTGTTCGGGCATCGCTCGAAAGTACAGTCCCGTTTCGTGAGCATTGTAGATGTCACGGGGTGCATAATTTTCACGCATACCGGGCCATTCCGCTGCGATCCACTGGTCGGCGCTTTTCTTGTCGGTTTCGGTCTGCGGCTGATCCCCGCGAGGTTTGCCCAGAGCGATGTTTTCCCTGCGTAGCCATCGAGAGAACCAGCCGTCCGTGACCTTGAAATCCGATCTGCCCAATTTCTCGGCGATACTGACTGCTTTCGATTTCAACATCGGCCCGTTGACTGGCGCGTTTTTGTCGAGCACCTCAACGTACCATTTCTTCAAGACTTTTTCCAAATCTTCGTCCTTTCCGGACCTGTTTCTCTTGCGATGTTTGTTCTCGGCCGACTCGATTTCGTGACGAGTTTTTAATAACTTGTTCAGCAGTGACTGCGAGACTCCTAACTTCGCTGCTGCTTGACGCTGCGTGCATTTTTCGAGTAAATCGTACTGTTTCAGCACGTTTCCCTTTTCGAGTAAACTCATATCGTTTCTCGGCATTGTAAAGTTTGATTTTTACTCGACGATTTTCAAAAAGCGAGCGATTACATTAACCGGACTTTGATTACAATAAACATAGATCGGAACTTTAAATTAACACAGAAATTGGGACTATGTGCAATGTGTTTGATTCCATTAAGCGAGAACACTGCGTCTGCTACAGCTTCTCGTAGTGTTTACAGTTCAAATCGTCGTCGTATGCTTGACACATGTTATATGCGTGCGCAGCTGTCACAGCTGATAAATGACAAGTCTGTGTAATTCAATTCAACGAGTCTTGCAGAGAAAAATGCCTTTTTAATTGTGCTTTTACATATAAAAATTATTGTTTCACGGAAATACTTTCTCTTGCTAATTTTTTGTGGATGATTCTAATTTTCAATGATACTTATAATTAAGATGATGTAGGTAAAATTAAAAACAGTCCTCCCAATTTCTATATTTTTTATTATAGCTAATTGAAGTTTTCCATGGTAAGTTAAACTTGGTAAATTTTTACCTCTTTTTGACTTATTAATTATACATCATTCAATAAGATTCAGTTCTATAATTGCTTGCAATAATCATCGCAGATTTTCATGAGTAAGAGGTAAAATAGAATAATAAACCAGCAAAATAATTCACTAAATATTTTTATTTTTGTGCTCACGTGTAAGTGCTTTTCATCGAACCATCGCAATTTGACATTAGAAATCTCACTTGTGCAAACAAAGTTGTAGTAAACCAACTTTAAAATACATTTTTTCCTATTTTTGTGAAAAAATAAATATTTGTATGATAGGTTTACAATTTAAATCGTATGTTAATTCCAATATCTTTTATATAATTATTTAATATAAAATCTTTCTTTACATTTTAAATTATTCATTTTTCACTTAGAGTGACTTAAATGACATAATTAAGTAAATTACATTAAAAAGACTCCGTTTGACGTGTTCACAATTTTCAATTTTATTTTCATATCAAAGTAGTAATTAATACTTGACAAATACTACGTATAGTTGTTAGTTATTCTGAAAAGCAATACAATCACAAAATAATAGTATGGCACTACTAAGAGACAGAACTGTAAAACAGTAAATACTCTTGAACTTATTTTAAAAGTTTACTATTGACAAGTTGCTAATATTATTTCTGTGCCATGGACAAAAACTAGATATCATTAAAAATTCTTCAGTCAGTTGCTTTGAAAATACTACAAGCAGCCTTTTCAAATTCTGTTGATTGAAGTGTAGGATATGTCATGGATTTTAAGAGATTTTAAAATATGCTAGATTTTGTCTTGGGCATAGACTTAATAAGTGAAGTTATAGTACAAAAATTGTATCATCTATGAAAAATGCTTGTACAGAGCAGATGTCATGAATTAAAAAAATTATGAAAATATCAACATCATCAACCATCACAGTTTTTTTTATAAAGTCAAGAATCTTATTAAAATGAAAAAGTCAATGACTATCAATTACTGACTCAATATTAATGAAATTTTACTGCAAGAGGTTGTTTTAATATTTGGCATTTAAGTAATTTTTTTTTTAACTTTCTCAATTTTTCAATGGTATGTCACTCAAGTTCTATTAATGTTATACATAGAGAAGTAAAAAACCATGAAAAATAAAAGAACACACATAGGCATCAAAAAATATTAAAAGAGCTTTCATGTACAATTTCTTCCTAGGGATCTTATAAAAACTGGAGAACACCCAAAATTTAGGTTTTATGACTGCATCTCAGAGTTCATCCTCAAAACGGTGTATTTCTTGTAGATGATCTCCATAATCAGTAGCCTCACTGCCAACAAAGACATCATGATGTTCTAGAATTTCTTCAAATGATAATCGATTATCGTGATCATCATCTGATGCAGCAAATAGATGCTCTACTTCATCATCAGCAATATCTCTGAAAAATTATTGATGAGTTTTAGAGAAATTGAAGCAAATTTTCAATATGACTAATGATTATCAAGAAACATCAGAACTTACTCATTGCTTGGGATAAGCCATGCTTTCATCTCATTTTGGTTTAATTTACCATCTTTATCTTTATCATATTCATTATCAAATTTTTCTTTTTCCACAAGTAACCACTCCTTATCGTGGCTTTCTGCTCTAGCACCTAAAAATTCTTGAAAACTTACGTAGGAGTCACCATCTTTGTCATAATCTTCCATTGCTTGTTTCATAATGATATCCATCATTCTGGGTTCTTCCTCTGGATGAGTATATGCTTTAAATTCAATTGGATTCAAGTACCCATCTTGATTGAGATCCGCCACATCAAATGTATCTTTGTCATTTTGTATTGCTTTATCTTCAATAGCTAAGTCTTCAGGATCTGTGCCATAAGTATCTTGAAGAATTTCATCCCAAGTAACTCTGCCATCTTCATCGGAATCAGCATCTTCTAATCGATCTTTTGATTCCTCGTCGGATAGCATTCTGAAATATATTTCAACATATACTTTGTAACTCAAAACAAGATTCATCGATGAATGCAACGTTTACTTACTTAAAAGATCTCAAAATCCATGCCTTTAACTCATTTCGTTCAATAAATTGATCCAAATTCAAGTCCATTTTAGTCAGCAAAACTTTCAGTCTTCTTTTTGATTCTTCAATTGGAAGTTTATCAAACTCCTCTGCTTCTCTAACGCTACCTGTGACATACAGCATATTATAAGTATTCAAAGTAACGAATGACAGAGTAACAATCAACGATCAACATGAGAATGAAAAATTGTGAGACGAGGGGAAGCTCTACTAAAATAGCTGCGCGAATAAACAAAAACCAACCGAGTATGGCCTCGTGATCGAACTCGTTGTGATGCTCGCCGTCCTGATAGTGTCCGCTGTCTCGGGGGCTGAAGGCCCCGTCCTCGGTGCGCTCCTTGGAGCCGCCCTTGCCATGCTGCGTGTGAATATGCGCCGAGGCCGCGGACGCGTAATCGAGCGAGCTGCAGCACAACATCAGCAGGGCGATGCACCCGAGTCGCGAGCAGAAGATCTTCGACAGTTGCATTTTTTTTCGCCGTAACACACGATACGAGTCTTGTTTGATAACACAACGCGCGGCACCACACACACGGATATTCAGCCGAGACGAACTGACATACACAAGTAGGTGTAACACTTGAATCGCGATATAAGGTATTTAAAATACCGTGTGCGCCTGAGGCAGTCGCGCGAGGTTGAGGTTACTCGCTCTCTCACTCGTAGCTGGCGGTTCGCTGCTGCTGCCGTTCTATTGTTAGCTCACGTATAGTAGCATCGTCACGTCCAGCACAGCGGCACAGGGTTGCGTTGCGTACACGTATTACTATATGGCCTGAGAATCGTAATGACGACGACGATGATTTTTTTTGTATTACGAGAGCTGTAAATTCGATCGTGTGTACAAGTCGTCGCTTTGTGCAGTCTGTTTAATTATGGATATATGTTTGGCTTTACTATAGTGGCAGAATGTTTCGCGTTAAAAAAGTCGGTACAAGCAGGCAAAAACGTAACTTCCGGTCTGCAGATAAAATTAAAATCAAAAGTCTAGCCAAACTCAAGAGAAAATTCAAAACCAAAATACTTCCACGTCGACGCTGCGGCAAATTATTGGTATAGTGCATCAATTTAAAAAACGATCTGGTTTACTTTTATGTGACGATGTTCATAAAAACTATTTTATTTCTTTTATCAAAAAACCAGCCAACTAATTACGCGCGGTAAAATATCAGGATGGATAATGTCATTTTGATTTATTTTACGAACGATCATGATTTAGAGAATTAAACTGCGTTTTTTAATTGATACAAAATAAATCTCATGCAAGACATGATACATGGCATTTAGCTAAAAGATATAGAGTGAAAAATTGGATTTTATTAGTAGATGCAATTAAAAAATTGCTTCCCTTGCATTGATATAAAAATCAGACGTGCAGAAGGGTATATAACATAATAACGAGTGTCAAATGCAGCTCATAAGGGTCGGTTACAAGGCGGCCCTACTCGCGCTCGGTACGTCCCGGTTTTTTAACGGTCGTCCGCCGCCAATCCTAATAAACAAGAAGGGAATAAATCGCGGCGCGCGGGGGCTGTATCCTAATGAAAAATCGCGCTTGGCTGGCGTGACGTACTTATACACACACAAACACTTTATAAGCTCGGGGAATTACATACATTATTTATATATCTTACAAAAAAGGAGCTGGGGTTGTGTAGGAATATAACACACGTTCGGTAGCCGCGCATTATTTCGAGTAAATAATTGCGATAGCATCTGCTGCTGCTGCGCGCGAGACTCGTTGAGTTTTTTAAATCGTGCACGAGGCATTTAAAAGATCGCGCGGCTTTATCCACGGGCAGAGGTAATTTTTCGCTGCAGCTCTACTAGGCTTCCACCGCGCGATGCATCGAAGAAAAAATAATCAAACACCATGGCTCGTGCGCGGAAAATGAAACGTACTTGCGAATCTTTAAGCCAGCTTAATATGCATGCGATATTATTTTACCCGTAAGCAGGTAAAATGAGAAAACTAACGTGTAAACACACATACACACCCTTGTAAAATACTCATCGAGCAAAAACTTTTGCAACGAGTGCGTACGTACGCGTGAGTTGTCCGTATCAGCGCGACGCGTACATAACATTATGTTGCATGTGTGTGTGTGTGGGTGCGTGTGTGTGTTATATTCGAAAAGCACTGGGGATCGCGACTTTGAATTTTTAATTTTATTGCACACATACGGCATACACGTGAATAGTGCCCGAGTACTACAAGAGAGCCGGGCAGCAAAGGAAAGCAAGAAAAAACCTCGAAACATACCTATATACCTATAATGCAGTCAGAAATACTCAGCTATGTACGTGCCCTATGGAGAGAGAGAGAGAGAGAGAGAGAGAGAGAGAGAGAGAGAGAGAGAGAGAGAAGCTCCGGAAAGGAGGAATGCTTATGAAATCGCAGCGTTACGCTGTTAAATCAGCGGAGCGTGAACGGGTGGGGGTCGCAGCGCTCATATCTTTCGTCTCTCGCGTGCGCTGTACTACGTACTGTCCACGACACACAGGATGTTGCTACCTTTCCGTGTCTCCCTCTCTCTCTCTCTTTCTCTTTCCTTCTTTCTACTTCCTCTATTTGTGCTTCTTTCTTTCTTTTTGCTCTGTGTCTGTGTGTGTATGTTTTTTTTTCTGTCCTGTAATCATCGTCGCGTATAACCAACGTTTCTGTAGATGTTATATTTTATTTAATAGAATTTTGTTTTAACTAGAATTCGGAACTATTTTTGTACGTGTAATCGTATGAGTTTGACTCGGTGATTCGGATGATACTGATTAAATGTTTTATAAATAAATTCGGTATAGAAAAAAGAAAGGTAACAATGTTATTGATCAACTTCGTTTTTCTCGCAGCGTAGGAAGTCTAAAATTGTTTCAATCGTTCAAGATTTGGACACAATGACAAATATTTTTATTATGTCTGAGTTGTTCCAACTCTGACTGAGTGAGAGACCCTACTCTGATGCTTTTCTTGGGAAAATTAGAAATCTTTAAAAAAAGGTATTGACCGATTCAAAGAAATTCTGAAAAAATTCAGACAGATTCTTTGAAAAATTTCAAAACTTTTGATCAGTGAATTTTTTTTAAGTGCTCCTATCTTGATATATAGGAAATCTCAAAGGTTTTTAATGAAAATAGAAAACCCCTTATAAAATGGACCCTAAGTCCCATTCAATAAAACTAAGCATAGTGAGCTTTGTATTAGGTTCCTGGAGACCCCAAAAAATTGTTGGTAAAGATCCGTGACCCGAAGGTTGTCTCCTTGTAAGTAATAAATATTTTATTTTATCATCAAGAATGTAAACATTTCGAAATGACTTATTCTTCTAAAATGTAAGAAATTAATCATCGAATTTGCAAGCTCTCCTTATGTCGATGGAAAAATGATGATGCACACGGGTGTGTATCCAGAACTAGTGCAAAAAGGATTTTTCCACGGAACTCGTTACATACTGTGTTATACATCTATACAAGTACACGTTGTTTGTACGCGATCGGCTTCGGATCGTGGCGGCGCGCTCCGCTTTTGCCGCCTTCGCGCGTGTAAGCATCACGACGATGATCGTCCGTCCGTCCGGTAGGCACGAGTTCTGCCGTGTAGCGTCACGATTGAAAGAATACGTATGCGCTAGGGGGTAGTAGCTCCGCTGCTCTACCTGCTGCCAAGGCCTCTGATATAGAGTCAGAAAAAAAATAATAATAATCACAACAGCGGCGGCAGCAACGCGTATTTAAGATGGATTGAGGTAATAAAGTCGCGCTGCAGTATGTGTGTGTGCGCGCGCGCACGGATGGACACTGCACTGCGGCAACAAGTGTGCGTGCGTGCGCGAGCGCAGTCTGGAGCTACTGCTGCTGCTGCTACTGCTGCTGTTGCACTCGTAATTAGTCATAGCGCGATGCGCTAACAGCCCGGCATTCTGCAAGACTGACCCCCGCGCGCACGAGCTTAACGCGCATAATTCGCGTGCGTATAAGTCTCGCATTATAATATACTTATTACGGACGGACACGAGGGAAAATCACTGCGGCATATACATGGGATGCATCGAACTTGTAAGCAAGGACTGGATGTTTGAAATTTTGACGTTCGCGATTGTTTGCCAATTTTTCACCAAGTGGAAAAACAAGTAGAATACGTAACAGGAGGCCCTTTTTTATACCGAATGAAAGCAAAAATGTCGTGAATAATTTATTGATGGAATATGCTTTCGACTTTGGAATCGTTAGGTACGCGTAACAACCCTCTGTATAAGCGGTAGTTCGTATAACTGCCATTATTCTAATGGCTCTTAAAAATTCAACCGGCTCATTATTATAATCCTTTTTTGTAGCTTATGAGAGGATGTTCAATTATCCATTCTCCCTGTAGAAATCGGTGGGAACTAATTTTTTTTTTTAAATCATCGGTCATTACATAACGAAACGGCATTTTTTAACGTTTCGCTTCATTTATTCTTTTGGTAATAATTCCCGTGAAATTTCTTCAAATGAGCTGCGTTTTCAGTAGGATACGTTGATGTTATAAAGATGGACATTATTTTTCGACGCGATATACAAAAGGGTGATAAAAAGATGATTAGATCAAAATTATAAATCAAATAATAAAGCATGCACTGAATTGATCAAGCCACTGGTTTATTTTGAAGTTAATACAGGAGTAATTCATCGTACATCGAATAAAACTTTTTACATTACTTTTTTCTTGCAATGGATCGTATATCAAGGTTTTGGACGCATTCACAGATACATTTATACATTTATAAGGTCATAGTGCCATGTCAATATGGGCTTTCAGATTTCTTCAGTGTCCGAATATTTTTCCGCACGTCTCGCATTTATGGATTACATTATGCGACGTTTTGACATGATTAATGAGACCAGATTGGTGTTTATATTTTTTTCACATAAATCACATGTATGAGTAATACCATTATGTACTGTATCGATGTGTTTTTTGAGATTTCCCTTATTGGAGCATTTCTTACTGCGTATATCACACGAGTGAGTGACACCATTGTGCACTGAACTGATATGGATTTGGAGATTAAATTTATTTGATAATGTCTTGCCGCATACACTACTTGTGCGGGTGATACCATTGTGCATAGCTTTGATGTGAACTTTGAGATGCCCTTGTTGAGTAAAAGACTTTCCACCGTTGTGTATGTAATCGACGTGGATTTTTAGATAACTCTTCTGTGAGAATGTCTTTCCACAAATATCACACGCTTGTGTGAAGCCATTATGTACTGAGTCGACATGGATTTTGAGATTAGCTTTTCTTCCGAATTTCTTTTCGCATATATCACATGCATGTGTGGCACCATTATGCACTACATCTATGTATCTTTTGAGATACGATTGGTGAGTAAAAGACTTTCCGCAAATATCACACGTATGTTTGATACCAATATGCAATGCATCGACGTGGGTTTTAAGATTACTCTTCAGTGTGAATGTCTTTCCGCAAATGTTGCATGCATGTGTGGTACCATTATGTACCAAATCGATGTGGGTTTTGAGATGATACTTTTGGGTGAATTTCTTCGGGCACATAATGCATGCATGTGTCAAGCCATTATGAATGTCGACGTGGATTTTGAGATAACATTTTTGTGAAAATGTCTTGTCACACAAATCACATTTATGTTTGATAGCTTTATGCACCGCATCGACATGAGTTTTCAGACTATGTTTGTATGTAAATCCCTCATTGCATATGTCACAAACGTGATTAAACGTATTACTCCCCGCATCTGTTTTAGTTTTGGATCTACGTTAATTGTCAACTGCATTGGTAAGTCTTTTTTCACTATTTTTCTCAACAAGTCCCGAGTCGAGATTCAATGTTGTTGCC